TGGTTACTGAAAATTAAATAAGCCAAAAGACCAATAATCATATACATACATACAATCTTAAGGATTTGGTAATTATGTACGTAAATTGTATGTATATTTATTTTATTATCATTACGTCATCTTCGAGATATACTACGAGCTTCCCTATTGTATTGAGTAGCACACACATACAACGTATAAAAACTGAGAGAGCAAATCCTCTTTTATAGAGATCTACAGACTATCAACAGATTCCCGAACTGTCGATGATCTAGACTAACTGTAAAGTCGTTCTAATACGGTATTTTTATCAATTAACAAAGCTTAAATGTCTTATCCCCAAAATGCCGGCAACGCTCTCGTAACTCCTTTGGAGTTGTATGTGTCTATGGGCGGCACCATAAGCTTACCAGGTATGTCGTCTGTTCGTTTGCCGCCCTATCATCTATACTAATATTATAAAGAGCTAAAATTTGTAATTTTATAAGTTCGCGTTCGAATCGCTGGTCGGATTGCCATAATTATTTCACTGATATATAGCTACGATATAACTGAGTGCTATAGGCTATAAAAACTCACGGTACGATCAAATGGAGTCGAGCAGCGGGTGTAACCGCGCGAGAGAAACTAGTATAAAAATAAGTATACAGAATCCTATAAGTACTCATAGTATAAATACCTAAATATCATATGTTCTTTTACCTAATTATACATACTAGATAGATACACAAAACACAGCCCTACAACACAATCTTTTGTCACTGTCACCATTAGGTACGTGAATTACCTACGTAGGTCAATAAATACCTACCATTAGGGTAATTTAACATTAAAACAATTAAATAGGTACTATATTTTTTTTATAATCGACATCAGGCGCGCAAGATTAACAAATCTTATACCACACATAAGACTTTATAAACACAAAAAGGAATCGTTATTCAAACAAGATAAAATAATTATCTCCTTCTAAAATACCGAATCCCTTTGTAACGGAACCTGTAATTTATGATAATATATCAATCTGGTATGCCTTAGCCTGAACGTAACAATTAAAACATGGCCCACTGTCACAAAAATACGTATCCATATCCGAAGCGGCACAACCCTTTAATTGTGTTCAAATCGATCCCTAATGTTATAGTGGCTTCGTTCGTACTATCGATCGACTTTATTAATCACTATATTTGTCATAGACTATTAATTTTAAACTAATAAAATCGTTATCAAAGTTATTAACTTTCTATTCAAATTAAAATATTTCAATATTCCTAAACTTTTTAGAGTAAATAAGGACATGCTGTATATTTATTTAATCGAACGAAGTGATTTAAGATATTATATTTATCATTGGCATTGTATAACTATCAATGTTACCCAGTTAAGATACCGTTTCCAGGATAATATTTAAATTCGTAGAAAACATATCAATCTCTTTGTTCTATTTCAAACTAGCTTCCGCCCGCGGCTTCGCCCGCGTTGTATGTTGATAAAAAGCCTATGTCCTATTCCAGAGTGTATCCTATGCCTGTGCCAAATTTTATCCATATCAGTCCAGCCGTTTTGGTGTGATTGAGTAACAAACATCCAAATATCGTAACTTTCGCATTTATAATATTAGTAATTAGTAAGATTATGACTTTTGAACATGGTACTAACCTAACAATCTACATTTTTCTAACATTACACTAAAAGCACTTTATAAATCCTCACAGAGTAAAACTCCTTACATGTACAAACCTCGAACTCAATTACCTTTCTTCACTCAGGACCACAGAAGCGACGTCGGCGTCCGCAGCCCCGAGGCACGCAGACAATATCGCTCCAGATTGAATTATCGATCCGATAATAGGATCGCAAGAGTAATGCCCCTATATATTGTTCTTGCTACTTTAATTATGGGAGCTATTGAACCGCCTTGTTTATTAAACACTTCATGAAGTGAGCAGATAATTTCTAAGCGAAAGCTTATTGTTATGGAGGCTGTTTAAAATATGAGACACGAATTTTCACGAGTCTTCATAAGATATTTCATGATTAATACCTACGTGTATTTAGGTTAAATTGCCATAGCATTTATTTTAATAAATCTTTCGTAACTTACATACTTAATAAGTGCTACGTAAAACATGAGCTATAGAGTTTATAATGCTACGACTATCCCATATTTCATTAAACAAAATCAAAACCAATTAAACAATACTATATCAATTCCATTTTATCAAAAATACAAACAATATCAGTGACCTACAGTCGCTGTTTGAAAGCGTCGGTTGGCAGATAACAATCAATATGGCGCCCAGAGCGTCACCGGTTGTCACCCAAATGAACGAGCACATTAAAATGAAACGCCTCGCAGTAATGGACATAAATTAAATAGTCGTCCACGTCACTCAAGATGCAGGATCTGAAGAAATACGCCCTGACGGAAGCCAGGTAGTTAAGATTCGAAACAAAAATATAAGATAACAACAGTTAAGATGTTACATTTTATTAGGAGCCAACAAAGCGACAGTAATTTACGTCCTTTTTGGGTCGTAAGATAAGGATAACAGTATTCTCATTTAACGATTCAAATTCTCAATACACATCGTGAGAAGTTTCTTTAACCACGCCGAACGCTAATACTAACCACTCACAATTTCTCAGACTTCAATTCTAGACACAAACAGAACATAAAATTTCTTCACAGCAATCGCTCATCTTAAATTATTGCTGTGGGTCATACCACACGCGAATGTATTGCAATTCATTACAACACTAACGTTAGAAACCGATAGTTACAATACACAGTGGTTACAAGTAAATTACTCGAAGTACTCGTAATCTACGCCCAGGAGGCAAACAATAGAGCAATAAAAGCAACTGCACCCGGCAACTCGAGAAAGCAACAAACCTATCGACAACATATAAATCAGAGACAACCTCGAGCGTTACTACTTGAAGCAACACAGAAATATATTTGTAGACGTTACCGACCAAACACTGGCACATAATTCAGTTTTCTGTAACATAAAATACTCTGTTTCATAGAAATAGATCCCTGTCACACCGAACTATCCACACTTCGCACTATCTGCCTCATCTATCCCTTGATTTATATTTGCTGAAGTTGACAAAGTATTAGCAACTTAATTTTCTGCTTTGGGTTACAGTTTATGGAACAGAAAAACAATTCGCATTCCAGGTATTTTACAGTGATTAAGGACAAATGTGTTTGGAGGAATATTTTAAACAAGTTTGTCAACAGTCATTATTTATTGGCACAATGTTCAACAACAGTCGTAAGGGTTCTAAGATACAATCGAATCAAAAGAAAATTCTAACCAAGAGATAGGCACGTGAATTGTCTTACATGTAAACTCGACAAAGATACCAAATAAAAGAATATTTCACTGCTACTTAATAAGCAGTAATAAAACTAAAAAGTTCCGCTGTTTCACGAACGAAGTGCAGATTCGAAGATCGCATCAACATTTACGGTCGGAGATGTCACATAGAGCAATAAAATTTCGGTACAATTACCGAAAAACATATTGTCCGGAATTCTTTCACGGTACGTTTCGTAAACAAAGGTAATCTTAGGGGCATCGGATCAGGTGGAGGGACATCTACATTATTGCATTGCTTCACGACAATAACAACTACAGTAGTATTCTTAAAACTCTTTTTGATGCAATCGGTTGGCTTTTTCTTTGTCATTAAATAGGCCACGGACAGTAATATAGCATTTATTAGAATACATAAATAAAAATGTACAAATTAGATTTGCTTCCAATTCGAGAACCCAGAATACACTAGAAAACAACTTACCCAAAATTTATTATTTTCCGTCTCACGATAGTTGCTATTCAACAGAAAAAGTGACTGCCATCCAAAAAATTAAAAAAATGAGCGTTGAAAAATTACTTTCCATATACGAAATTGTTGAACGTCATTTTACTCAGCACACTATATAAAAAAATACACCTATGTGTCTGTTTGGTGAATCAACTTCTTACCAGACCCCTGAACAGGGAATCACGGAAGACCTGTTTGTTATAACTGACTCATTCTATAATAGGTATTGACATAATGTGTCAGTATGAATGAAAATTTCTATGGCGCATCGCATGCACTTGTCAGCAGCACCCAATCTTCAAAGAAGTGCGATAGGATCGAAACCATGTTCTGAATACGTGATCTCACCAATTTTACTATAACAAGTCTTGTTCACATGAATATCTTGATCTCTCTCACTCTGAACTGCGACATAATGACCACCTTCAATACATTCGTTTAAGCTTCTTCTTGATAGTAGTCAACTACTACTTGGACAAGACACAGACAGATAATTTTTGCAATGATCTAAAAATGAGGGGTGGAAGGTTTAAAATAAAAGTAAGTTTTATATTAGGCTCACATACAATTTATTTCAAAAACTTTTTTTTATTATGCTTAATGCTAACTACGAATAGTAATCAACAATCGGTGATCACTACCATATTTTTAGTTATTTTTATGAAGTCGAGACGTCTTCAGACTATAGGTTTATATTTTGTTATTATAAGTTTATAGTTTAGAGAAATCTACTTTCATCCAAAACAGTAAAATAATTAATAAAAATTGTATACACATGAAGAATCGAATAGAAATTCAAATTTCATCAGCAAAATAACATGGTACCTACTTCTGTAAAACGTTGAAATTTTTTAATAGATAAATGTACTTTCTATTTAGTTCTAGTGCACAAAATTAAGTTAACAAATTTTACGTAGTATATACATATTAAAAAAAATCCTATGAATACTCGGCACAGAGAGTAAAAACACGGGAAGATATTATTACAAATGGTTTACATCAAAGTAAAATACTGAAATTAACTCACAAAGGGGGCAAGTATGCTTGGCAAAACATAACCTTTTTTACCTGAATATAAGTACTAAAATTAACGACACGAAGCAAATTTTTCTAAAAGACCTGCTTGGAACCTTGAAATATAATAAGACACTCATCTCAGATATTTAGACATATGAAAAAAAATAAAAAGGAATAAATATAAAAAATATATACAGACCTCAAAATATTAAAAAAAAAACTATTTTACTAATCTCGTCTGTAGTCACGGGAGCTGCTTTCTGACTCTGGTCTTCTCCGCCAGTTGGTATCACCGACCGATCTATCCCTACGGGAGGAGAAATCGCTTTGTCTTCGTCTACTGTTGTAGCTGTCTTTAGTTCTACTATATCTATTGTATCTATCCTGTTTTATTTGGTCTTCATTTGTGTCCTCGTCCTCCTCTAATGGAGAACGTTTGTATTTCGTCTGTGTGACGTTCAACGGTTTTATTTTTGTGTCTTTTCCCACATCAGGCGGTGGTGGCGTCTGACCTAGTAAGTCAGCAACATAGTTCTCCCGCTCTATTTGATAGCCACGAGCTTTTTCGAACCCTGTAACAATGCATTTTGTTTTATATCCGCATTACTTTTCATGATAGACACGTTAGATATATTCTAACGTGTCTATCGTGTAGTTACGGCTAAGATATGTTTCCTAATATTTTCACCTGTCCTAACAACTTCCATCGTAGACTAAAATAGAGTTAATGACGCGGCGTGCGAACCAGCTAGCAGTGGTGAAGCAATAAATAGTTCATGTAGTAATATTTATAGACAATAACTAACTCTTAATAGCGTCCTTGGCAGGGATCCCGAGGCGGTCGCGCATGTATCGGCACACCATGTAACCGGTGCGATTCAACCCGTGCGTGCAGTGGACACCGATCAGGAATTCTGGAACAAATACAATATTCAATAACATGTACACCACTCTGATAATTTATATAATAGGTAAATATAAATTATTTACAAATATTAAAAACGAACTGTCACACATATCATATTTACACATAGTAAATATGATATGTGTGACAGTAACAAGACCTTGAACAATAAAGAAAATGAAATAGTATTAATGTAAAAAGATAAACAGTAATGCAATCACGATCGATAGCCACTAAAGCAAACCGCGGAAAACAAACGAAAACCTCGTGTTTGTGCCTTCAAAATCGCACGGCAAACATGGACTGGAGGTCGTTGACTCCCGCCCCCATCGCACCCCATCGCTAAGCGAGGGCGGTGCAACCGGGTGGCGCCGCGGAGAAAGGAAGTCGTGGCCGCGGTTTGACACTTCCTCAGGAAGACCTTTGAAGTGGCAACCAAGATGTACCTTTGCATCGCACACAATTGTATAAAACGGCTTTTTAAAAATTGTTAAGTTTACAATGTACGGAGTAAAAGTCAATTTAGATTACACTCACTATTCGATACAAAATAATTTCTGAAAACTACAACACAAAGGCGTACACAACTTGACATTTTCGTTATACAATCAAACGAACGAACAAAATCATAAACCGAGAAAGCATACGAACATAACACAGATGTTACGACCTGACTTTGTCCGCTACATATATGCACCTCGTAAGTTCCTTAGCACGAGACAAAAAACGAGCAAAAACCTTATTGTCGATGCAAAATTCCCACGCAGAGCGGCCAAGGAGTAATGCATTTGAGGCATTACACATGCAAATTCATGCCAAGTCGGAACAGACAAAAAAACAATTTCATTTACAACAATCCATCAAGGCAAGCTTTTGCCAGCAACTTAATTAACGTATGTATATACATGTTTTCAATTACAGAAACAAACAATGCAATGGTAATTATGAGAACTCACTCAGAGCTACATTTATGAGATAATGTTTATGAGCTGAAGACATACGACGCAGCTCAGACTAAGTTTAACTTCTTTAGTAGCTTTTAGTTTAAGTTTCGACGTATAGACAAAAGGCTTTAATTCAAGTAGTGAAATGTTCAGCACATGGCACAAAACTTATGGGTGAACAGTAAAATACGATTAGTTTATTTTACATATTTTCATTTTCTCATCCTTATAAATATCGATGCTAATATTTTTTTAATCATTGCCAGCTCCTGCGTAATAGACTAACGGCGGCATCAATATCATGATAATAATGTTGCTCACATCAGACGGAGCTGCCGTTTCAGGTTCTCAAAGTAGCGTTTGGTGACATTTCAAATGTCAACTATTACATTACGTTGCGTTGCATCGATTCACATGCAAATTACAACCGACAATACAATAAACCCAAAACATGTTACCACTTGTAAGTCACTTAGCATAGAAAGCGTACGTACTGTATTTGTAATGTAATAAACTTGATAGAAAATAAACAACACTGGTATTCCGACGCACAGCCCAAACAAACGGACAAGAGGTATCAAAAGAGGGCGTGACGTAATTATAATAACAATACATTGATGAATTGAACTGTTATTGCGTAATATTGAGACCTACCACATGTGGAAAAGTTATCAAGTGCATATGTTTTTAAACTATCCAAAATGTACTGCGCGCAATGCTGTCGAGTGCGGAAAATGATTGAACTTGCAATATTTTTATTTGTAATTTACTAATATAAGTATTTATTTGATGTAACTTACACGGCGTACGTAAATTATTAGTAAAACGATACATCTCGCTATTTAATGCAACATTTGATTATACTGTAACATCAATTATTATGATATGTCCTTACCGAGACGAATAGGTGAGCGCATCGCATTTCATATCGATTGTCGACAATCGACGCATTGTGAACGAAACGAGTCGATATCGATACGCGATAGTTCGCCTACGCGCGACCCCCTTACATCGTAATCGGCTTATTAGGATTTTACCACACGCATCCATGTGACTGCGGTGTGTTAACAATGTTACGATGTCGACCTAGGTATCTCCTTATTGTACTTATCCTATTACATTGCACTTAGCGATTACGTAAACGCTTTTGAAGCTAGCCAAGATTATTTTTGCTACTTTATTAATAAAGCCGTAAAGATTTTCATATCATTTCAAACGTTGGCATCGATAAGTAATCTACGAGCACGCTCATCCAACTAGAAACAAAGTTAACTATAAACCCGCTAATAGCTGCTTAGAAATCACGATAAGCAAATAAACTTATATTAAAGCTATACAATTACAGATATGAGTAGTAAAACAAGCCAAAAGCGCCGCGGGACGCTATAAATGTTGCCTTCATTTAAGACGCCACTTGACGCAAACAACATTTTTCGGACGATAAAGGTCTTATTACGTATTAATACATTGATATTTTTATGATAACAATTTACGAATTTAAGGGTTTGGAGTAAGCGGAAAGCGATTTTGTCGATCGCTTTTAGCGAGTAATACAAAGAACATTTTTTTAATGGCATATGTTACGTTGCGAGGAAGAGGTCTAACCAAATCGCTTGTATTGAAACCTCATCCCAAAAGCTGTATGTAAGAACTTGTTGCGTCTTGCCACATCGTCCGCGGCGCCACGCGTGGGCAGTGATGTGATGATCAGATGACTGATTAGGTATTTAAGAATATTAATTGTCGCAATGGCTCTACATTCTTCATTCGGAATTTTTATCGAATATGAACGTTGATAATACCAAAAAAATTTTAACTGGTGTTCAAAAAGCCGCCACACGTGACAAATATAAATTAATGTGTAAAAAAATTTAGGTCTGTGAAATACGAAGGTTAGTTTTCCAATGCTGTTTATAATGTATTGAGTATGGACACATTAGAAATATATGTACAATAGACTACAACACATTTCATACAAAACAAAGAGCACTAAAATACAAACTAAGTGTCCATATTATCTTGAAGTTATTTCAATCAACATAGCAATAACATAATTTATGAAGAAATGAATGCTTTTAAATAAACCTCCAATTATGGCTGGAGGAAGAAGCGACTCAAACACAAAAGACGAACAATAGCCTCTAACCTATACTTCTAAAACATTTCTTAGACAATGAAAATTCATCGGAACTGAATTATTTCTCTTTCGAGTAAACGACGAAATAGACAATGGCGAAGAGTTCAAGAAAACGATAAATAAAGATAGAGTTTCAAAAGAATAATTTAAAAACAACACAATAATTTACGAAATAACAATCGCAATATATTATGAACAACTGTTAAAGTACGTTATCACTCCACAAATAGATAGACAAACAGATTCCTCAGCAACATTTGTCACTGGTACTGTTCCTATTCCAAAAGTGCAACTTTGTCTACAACTATCTTGAAGTAAGTAAACTGCTCGAAATGCAGCGATATATCCTCCAGCCATATCAACAAACTTTCAAACTAAGTTGGACAAACTCATTTTTACGTGACGCCACCATACAAATAATATAAGAAAGCGTATTTTATTAGGGCGCTTTAAAACTTATTAGATAACCAAGACAAGACAAAACATTGTTGATAGTGCTGCCTATAAAGATCCAAATAAAATCATCAAGTCAGGTAATCCATGTCCTGAGATATGATCTCCAAAGAGCCAATAGACCACAACAGACGGTGCTCTATAGGGCTGATGTTCAGCCGGGGTCAAGAGCAATATGGTACCGCGGCCTCCGCAAGGCGGGGGGGGGGGGGAGAAGTCATATGATGATTATCCCCCCAAAAAAGAAATGGTTATCTAACTCCACGTAACATCTTGTAATTTTCCTACAGCAAAAAGGAAGCAAAATCCCCATCGTTTATCAATGTTACATCGAAAGTAGCAAGTCATCTATGTAACAGTAAAATAAATCCATCCATCAAGTATGCGACATGCGACAGTGGGACATCTGCAAGACACGTCAAATAACTTCTTGTAAAACATTTATAATAGCGATAACTTCCATAATTGATTTCAGTACTATTCATCTGTTAGAAACAACGATAAAAATGTTCTTGATGATAAAATTGATTTTTAATTCGAAACGAGAACGATAAATTATTTGTAACGATGTAAATGTCACGTATGAAATGATAACAACATTTCTAGTTTACTAAGAGTAAACACGAAAAATCTTTAGGATGTAGAAGACATACATTTGTTTATGCACGTAGGACTAACTAACAAAAATAAATAAAATACTAAATGTACAACGTATAATAAATAAACGAAAAAAAAAATGAAACATTGCTTAATTTGATTAAAGCACGACCGCGGCTACCACAGGGTGAACAAACAGTAGCAAGTGTAACAACATTCCCGCGCATGCGATATCGTGTAAATCAGGACGCGAGCGCGATTCCACCTGAGATAACAGGTGAAATACGAATATCGTCGCATTACCACGCGCCGGAACGAACGAACATTACCAATGTGTCGTTTATTTAAACGTCTTCTACAGTTATTTTATTTCACACGAACAATAAATTCCAATTTATTTGTTCATCGCAATTGAGGAAACGGATCAAACTACATGAATCGGCTTACATTCTCCAAGAATCTGGCGCCAGCCTTAGCAAACCAGTATAATATACATCTCACTCAATCTACTTAGCGACACCGATAACCGGCCATTACCAATGAAAACGCCGACAGATAGTCGCATGCTCACAATTAATTGAAACTGCCCACGTAATCTAATAAAAGCTAGTTTTTGTGATCAAGACAAACAAGGGCGCCCATTCGTAATTAGAACTTAATGAACATTCGGAATATTGAGTCCGGCACCGTGAGAAGTCCGACGATAACTACGATTTGTGTCACTGTAATTAAAAGCGTGGCTGCCGATAAACTGGACATGTAGACTGAACCTACTAGTTTTGACTGCGTCGATCAACCAAAGTTTGAGGAGCTCTATATTGCCCTGATCTCATACAAGACAGGTGAAACGGAAAAGGAATATGAGTTCTTTGAAGAGTGAACACGAATTACAATTCTCGTTAAAATCGAAGCAGCCTTTAATTGAAATCGTATGTTGTGTCGAACGTCACTGATAAAGCCGTATACGGCTCTGTTGACGCAATGACATAACAGACTGGTGATGCAAATTGAGACGCAATGAAATTTAAATTACGTTATATGCATTTCAATAAAAACATATATCATTCTTGTTGTGTTGATTCATACGCTTCGTTTGCATTCATTTTAATTGAGAGTGAAAGCGTAAAGATCTGTTTACGAAGTATTCACTAGTAGTTTTTTAGGTTATGGCTTCTTTTCTGGAGCATTAATCTTATTGACTACTACGCTAACCGCAACAACAGATAATAGAGAATTAGAATGTCTAAAGAATTACATATGCAGTGACCCACCCAGTAGTGATGTTTAGACAACCAGTTTCAGAAGCAGCTAATATATCTAATAAACCTTATGCCAAAAACGAATGTGTCATGAGCTTCTATTTTTAAATAATACGTGCGTATTTTTAATAGTAACGATTAGCGACTATAAAAAGTGAGTACAACTGTCTACCTTAAATGGTCTTTTAGTAAGGCAATACGATTAAGCAATGGGCGTGCATTAACACCTCACTACAAAATTTTCACCCACGCGAAATAAGTGTACTTGTGCCATCATGACTTTAACCTACATGAGCGTTTACAGTGCGCCGAGCTAACAACACACCCAATTTTGAGCGTTTGTTTAGATTGAATGTATGGACGGATCTTACCTGTGGTTGACAAACCGAGACTGGCTCTCTTTACTTGCACAGCCACTAAAGAGAAAACCGCAACACGAATGTAAGTCTACAGTCCACTCACACACACTCACACACACACGCCGTCATTAAGCACGGACCAAAAATAATCAAGTGCGCTAACATTTAGTGCAAACAAAATTTTGACTCACCACAATCTTTTCCCAGGAATTCGTCAACGGTATCCATAAATCTGAAAAAAAAACAAAGCCAGTTTAATAACAACTCCAAACACTCGTATAAGTGGTATTCTCAGTAATACGTGTTTTGATACTATTCTCGATGAAGATGTTTTGGCAAATAATGCTTGGAATATACATTGAAGAACTATTGATATAGATAGGGAAGACTAGTAGACGGTCAAACTGTCGTGTGTTATCAAATTACACTGAGAGATAAAATCACAATATTGCACTCAATCAAGTTATAGGCGACAACGTCCGTTTTCACATTCCAGTTCTGTTTAGTAGCTCTTAGTACAATAAACTTTAAAATTTCAAAACGATGTAAAGTGATACGTAGCAACAGTTATTCCGCCGTAAAACATTTAATTGAATTTCACAAAAATATGTATAGAATCTACGGCACCCGTCAAGAACAAGATGAAATATTATCTTGTATCGATCGCAGCGTGTCGCCATACTTTAATCGATTTTTTTTACACCTAAAACCGCACGATCAGTGGGCGTTCAGAATTACAAGGCGTTTTGCCGACCGAACTGCCAGGTCGACCTATTTGATGAAATATGTTTGTTTTCATCATAACAAATGTCTTTTAATATTTGCTACGAGGGGGCGCCGCCAAACCCCAACTTGGCATTATTGGAATGTTTTCTTAAATAACTTGCAAGGGTGGTCCAATGTTGATATTTCGGCTCAGAATTTTCTTTCTACACAAATATAAATGTGTCGCATGAAGTTTTGTTATAAAAGAAATCCTGAATGTTGCCGAGGGTCGTGATTAAGTCTTGTCATGCAAAATTGCAAGCGTTTACTAAGCGCCATCATTTTCTAATTATTGTAGAGACTCCCCTCGAGCGACACGGGAGCCGACAGCGGCGCCGCGACTAGTTGCATTCAAACCAAATTTACAATTCAGTTTATCATCATCATCAATATTACCATCTAAAACGGTGCAAACGAGCTCTTCATTTAGCACGTAGATGAGTTATTGGAATGGCGATGGCGGCGAATGGTATATTCGTAAATATTTTATGACTCGAAATAGGGGCTTTGAACGAGTAAATCTGCGCATTATTTGTCATAATCATAAAAGTAACAACTATTGGAAAAACAAACTGGCAATTCTAGTTGGCGGACATAAAACACGGGAAACAAATTACTTGAAACAGTAATTAAAACCGATGTCAGTTTAACTCAAACAGAGGTATGTTAACAAGGCAATTCAGTGGAATTTAATCTGTACTCCAATAACATTTACAAATGAAACTAGCCGCGACGTGTGGCGCCAAAACGCAAACAGTTTAATTGTGTATTAAGTCACGATTCAACAAATTCGAAGAATATCTCCATCAAGGTCCTCACTAACGTGAATTTTTGCTTTTGTCGTTTTTTCTCAAGTGTCTCGCAAGATCAACACTACTTTTGCCTAGAAATGAGTTTAAGAAGCTACCAATTCTAGATCCGGAATCATTGTAAACATATATTTTTTTCTTTAATCACAATCTTCGTGTTTTAGGCACATGTGTGACGACCCGATAACCTTATATACATAAATATAAAGCCGTGACAGATCAATTAAAATAATTTAAGTATAATTCGAATAAGGATCAATATTATTATTAACTAACTTTCTAAGATAATTCGTTTTACAAGGCATTACGATTTGTCACGATAGTGTGGATGAATGGAAAAATTTACGTAGTAGATGATTGCTTTCAAAAAAAAAACAACCCTTAGAGAGCATGGCCTAACTCTTTAGAAACACTGAACTTTGAATATCATTGGCATATTAAAATATTTTTAAAACCATATTAATTTGATAATTCAATATAAATACACATCCTCGTTACGCACTTGTCAGATGCCTGATTATTTATTAAATTATCACAAATGAGTAGGTAAATAAATTTTAAAATTATAACATTAAATATATGCATTAAATATATAATCGTCTGTTGAAACAGGTAAATTTTATTTGAAATAAATTATCTGATATAATTTTCGTCTCATCTAATCCTTATTAATCCTAAAATGGCGTGTCATTTTTTATTTATTTATGCTTACAAGTTACAGAACAAACTTATGTTAACGACAAAACACGATATGTTCTACAAATGGCTACAATTAATCACTGGCAAGGTCGACATGACCAGTGACCACTGAACGACTTCAAAGCAGTACATTGTAACATACAAACTTTCTAAGCATTTCCTGGGCAACGCGGACGTCATTATTTAAAATCTGTCAAAATTGTGTATTTTATTACTCGGGCGGCAGATCGGAGCAACGTGAATTACATGCTTTCTTATTTAATATTAGTAGGGTCTTGCGTTTGTGAGATAATTTATATCTAGCGGCGTTATCTGTACGGTAAGATCGCTCCCGAGTTATAATCCGGGTATTTTTCATGGCACACCGACTGCGGTGCCACTGCCGTGCCCCTGCCCGGCGTTATTGGAAAATTTATGTAACTACCAGGAGGCATCGCTGCAATTATTATTCCTTGCCCAGAGAAACTGAGAATATTTGAGGATGATCACCAAGAGCTATGCAGATAGTCCGTGTTTCACATGTCGGTCAGTTGAGTGATGACTCACATAATCAATACCAATTAAAATGCATTAAAGTAGAAAAAACCTTCATAAACATGCAAATCTCTCGGATTATCCTAATTAATCTCTTGACGATGACTGAACATTACCTGCCCGCAGAACCTCAATATTTTAAAATCGAAAATAAAATCAATAAGCTGTGGTTTTAATGAAAAAGATCATAAGCTTTAAAATTTTGTAGACCATAAAATGTCAAATTTACATGACTATTACACGAGTTTGACGACACGCGGCCATAAAACATGTGTATAAACTGAGTAATAATTTTATTGCAAATTAATTACGACATTTATTATAATTTCCAGATTTCCAAACTTGTTCCTTATTTATTGTCATTGTCAATAAAGTTGGTCTCAATTCGACATTAAAAAACCTTCCGGAATGATTTTATAGCCACTAATAAAATGCATCCATCATACAATGATTTAATAAATTCCATCAAGTAATCCAGTTACCGCGTAGAATAGAAAATGACAAACATGCTTTCACAAGACACCGGACCTCACATAGGCGACGCAAGCGCATCCATCATGGTAGACGCGTACATGTCGTTATGTGTCGGTACCCAACAAGCGCCGAAAGTGCCCCAAACAAAGATAATAGGCGACATTTTGATACAACGCGAGATAAGGAACCAGGAGGTTCCCATGCGATCCAGGGCGTCCTCACAACACAACTACGAGCAATGTTGAAAAACAAGAGGCCAAAGGTCAGACGTGGATTAAATACAAGCAGAAATATACATCCGGTGACAAATAAAACAGTATACCTTTGTCTCAAATATCTCATACTCATTGGTCGCAAACAGAAGAGTAATTAAGAGATTTATCGGTTAATTCATTATTATATACAGTGCAGACAGTGAGGTCGTACCGATCATTAATATTACAAAGTTATTAAACACGAAGACACGAAGGACTACGAGACTATCAAAACTATTTTAATGATTTAAACATAAATTTAACGAAGCTTTAATGTTGTGTGGTTGTAATATAAATTTATGCTGCGTAGTATCGTAGGCATGTCATCAAGTTCGTGTTTACGGCGTGCAAACTGCACGACTGTCGGTGGCAGACTGCCGTCGCGAAGTAATTACCCAGTGATACATCGCCTTGATCCGAGATGCGCACGCGATCCTGTACAACTAATGCTATGTTACCCAACAACCTGTCTGTCCTTTGAGTAATGATGGATATGATGTTATATAACTTTATCTAAATATCCTACTGAATTCAAATTGCTTCTAGTAACATATATTTTTACACATAATTTACACACATTCATTAGTCAACCAAATAAATAATTTAGGTCTCAACTTCATGTTGTTCTTGTAACCATTAATTCAACAGTAGATACGAGCATGAAGCTAAATGAGTAAAGTTAGTCGAAATACATATCCAAAGTTTTATTCATTGAAATAGTTCTGTTCACATATTCACAGATTAAAATCGTCTTATGGCGCATTAGTAAAAGTTCCTATGAAAATTATTTAACGGCTATGAATATCAATGTACTTTAAAAGACTATAAAATCTGGAAAGTTAAAAGGAAAGTTTATAAAGAGATTGGGTTCATAATTTAGAGACGGTTTATATTGACAGTTTAATGTGATCTGTGTGATAGTAATAAGTACAAATCAATGTCACTAAGTTTAAATAACGAAAAACTATAAAGCGTCAAAAGGAATTATAACCGTATTAGAATACATAAACAAAACTAATAATTATTACAGACCTCACTAAATATACATTTACATAAAAAAGACACAATTTAACAAAAATATTAGCGTTTAAACATAAAACTAATACAAATAATGTTAAAGGTTACCATTATGAAGGTAAATTAGCTACGAGTGTTGCCAAGAGATAATTAAATAGCATATTTCGCACCAAAAACCAATTGATTATTTGATATATATAATATTAATGATAATTTTATGGTTTTGTGAAAATAACAGTAATAACGACACCATTTTAGTGCAAACACAACTCTAAAGAAATATTTTTATTAGGAAATTACAGAAGCTGATTGTTTTCTGTCGATGTTTTTTGATTACATTGGCACAGTCAGTAATATTCGTTTCTTATTTGAGATACAACGGAGGAGTATTTAAAAAAATAGAGGTTTTATGTGTTATTAAAATTCGTATTATATGACAAGTGTTATTTGCGTAAAGCAAATATTCGAAAGGAATTTATGAAATAAGTATTTTATGTCAAGTGTTACTGAAGTTGTTTTGACGCTATATAATGTTGTAGTCAATAATTAAGCTATAATAATTTTATGATAACTATAGTACCGTTGTTTTATATTTATAGCAAAACTGTCTGAAATTTTAACGAGAATAGACTAGACCACAAACATTACTCACACTATTGTCCAAAATTTTAAATGTAGGG